AGGGGCAACAGTGCCCAGTGCTCCTCTGGGGTGGGTGGCTCTCCCTCTGGCTGGTGGAGCCCAGGCCCAGCAGTGCCAATGTGCAGCCCTGGTGCCACTCCAGGCATCTCTGGCTTCATGCTTATATGCTCACATGGAGCTGGAGTAAGCAGGCAGGTGGCAGTGGATCCAGGGTGGGGGCTCCTGGTGACTGGAGGTAGCACAGGGCCTCCTCCCAGGCTCAGATGGGGGCCTGCTGTGGGGCAGCAGGTGGCTGCCAGGGGATGTGCAGGGCTAGGAACAGGAGCCAGTCAGCAGTGGGCATGAACAAGACTGCCAGGCACAAGGTTCGACAGTCATTGTTCGTGGTCTCCATGGCCTGGATCAGGATCCTATTTTGGTCCCACAGGACCTGAAGCTGCAGCTGCTTCAGGGCCAGGAGCTCAGTCTAGAATGCCTCCTCCTGGGTGATGTCTTCCTTCCACCACCTCTTCTCTTGGGCCAAGTCCTTCTGCTGTCAAGCCCATGCATCAGAAGCCCACTTCTCAGCCACCACCACCAGCCACTGGAGGAGGAGGGTCTTGTCCTGCATGTGCCTCTGGCACAGCTGGCACATCCAGAGAGACTTGGCACTGGGTAGCAGCTTCCCTGACCCAGCATTCCCACTTAACCCTGTGGCCTCTAGCCTGCGTCCAGATGGTGGATCTGCAGAGCCAGGAGAAAGAAGGTTTTGTGATAGTTTGCAACATTTCAGAGATAAGATGCTCCATAGTAATTTGGCTGGTCCCAGGCAGCTGCTGGGTGATCTCCCTATACCTACGCGCTCCCCTGGGGCCAGGAGTCCATCTGGTGTTGGCTTCAGGCAGCCTGCCTCCCCCATACTGTCCACAGGGCAGGACAGCCCAGGCTCCTGGCAGCAGCTGCTGCAATGGCTCCAGACCCTACTCTCTCTCTCCCCACCACAGCCCAGCTACTCTGCTGTGCTGCTGCCCAGGCCATGGCACCCAAGCTTGGAGGCTCCCAGACAACTGGGATAAGGAGCTGGCTGTGCCCCCACCCTTGGGTGGGGGGCTTGCCCAGGGGCAACAGCGGTTGCTGGTCCCCCACCCTCCTCATGGGGATCCTCTCTGGGGAGGTGCCCTGGGGCCAGCCCTCTTCCACACTGGCATTGTACCCCATGTGTGTCCCTACTGCATGTGCCCCAGGTGGTGCATGATGAACTGTTTGTGCAAGCTGAGGGATGCCCAAGCCACTACATCCTGCTGCTGCTGCTAATCCTCATGGTGCCCTGGGTGCTCCTGCACTGCTGGTTTGGGACCCTGAGCTACAACAGTGGGGGGGGGGAAGCCTGGGCTACCCCTCAACCTCTGCTGCTGCGTGGAGGGTTACCTGTGGTAGTGCTACTTGTCCATTCGTCCGACTGCCAAGGAGGATATTTCCATCAGTATTGACACCTTCCTCAAGTTGTGAGAGGCCCATGCCCATCTAGTTGTGGGGGTATAATGTGTTCTGCTTCTCTTAATGCTGGAGGTGGGGGACAGATAGGGAGGGGAGGCTGGGGGCAGGAGTTGGGGCTGGGGCAGTAAGGGCCCCCCCACAGTGTGGGGCTTACCGTGTTGCTCGGGCTGGTGAAGCTGGCAGCTTGGTGCAGTCTTCCCCATTGGCAATAGTGTCCAGCTGCGCCTGGTGTTCTGGTCTCTCAGTGCATGGTGTGCAGGTGCATGGCCAGGGTACCTGCCTGGGAAGGAGCTGGAGCTGACAGTGATATGGCAGCCAGCAGCTGCTGAGGCAGGTGCTGGCCTGGGAACCCTGAGCTGCTGGTGGACTGTGCAGCCAAGAAGCTAGGCAGGATGGGATGCTGAACACCCGAGGGTCCCTCCTCCAATGATATATCACTGGAGAAGTCAGGGCTGGGTGGGAGCTTGGGCAGGCTGCCTATGCTGGTAAAAACTGCATAATTTTGGCCTAGGTCCCGGGGTGCCAAAATGCAGGCCAGCTGCCACATAGATGGCATAGATTTGCGGTCATGGCCAGACTGACAATTGTGGTCAGTCACAGCCACCCATTGTGCCCACATGGCCTTGACCTTATGTGACACTGCCACACTGACTGGAAGTGTCCATTCTCCTTACCCTGATCAACAGGGCATCATAAATGTGGATGTTCAAGTGCCCACCCTGCTCAACAGGGCATCATAAATGTGGAAGTTCAAGCGCCTGCCCTGCTCAAATTGGCACAGCACTTCTGCATTGCCCCAGAGCACCATGAGGTTGCCAACTTCCTTCTGGCTCCATTTGGGGCCCCAGGTGGAGGGTATGGGTATGCACACACAGGCTGGACAGGGAGGACAAGGCCATTGTGGGTCCTGCACCAGCTTTCTGGGACCCTGCCCAGCTGTCTCACTGTTGCTGACCCTGGGTAGCTGCCAGCAGCACCCAGCATGGGGCACAGCATAGGACTGGCAGCTGTGTGGCAGAAAGGATGCCCTGCAGTAGTTACAGGCACAGGGTAGGCTGCTGGGGCAGGTAGGCTGGCCCTGCCAGAAACTGTCTGCAAGGTGCCCTGAGGTGCTGCAGCTGCCTATAGCAATAGATGTGCACCCACCTGCCTGACAGCAGTGCCGTGGCAGCCACAAGGCTGTATAGGGCTACACAGGAACAAAGGATGCCAGAAAGGCAGGCACAGCTCAGCTGTGGCCTGCCCAATGGGGCACACATGGCTTGCACTGCTTTCAGGCTACCAGTGATTTGTGCCTCAGGGCAGGCAAGTCATTTTTGTGGTATAAGGAGTCATGGGGTGGGGGTGTCTAGAGGACAGAGCCCAGATGCAGGCTGCTAGCATCCTAGCCTCTGACTGTTCTCCCATGGGTGTCCATGCCCCAGGTGGGGGGCTTGCCCAGAGGCAACAGCGGTTGCTGGTACTCCAGCACAGGTGGCTCCCCCTCTATCAGGTGGCATCTGTGGCCAGCAGGGCTTGCATGTAATCCTGCCCCCACTGCTGGCAGCTGCTGGTGAGTGATGGGCAGGCTTGGGCCCTGGTGGGGGGACTGGGTAGCACTAGATCCAGGGAGGGGGCCAGGCCAGGGTCTCCTAGTGGCTGGAGGCAGCAGAGGACCTCCTCCCAGGCCCAGGCAGGTGCCTGCTGCAGGGTGGCAGGAAGCTGCCAAGAGACCTGCAGGGCTAGGGTTGGGGGCCGGACAGCAGCTGGCATGAATGAGACTGCCAGGCCCAGGATGGTGTCCAGCACCTGACAGTCATCATCTGTGGCCTGCACTGCCTGGCCCAGGATGGTGTTTTGCTTCCTCAGTACCTGGATCCACTAGCATTCCAGGGCTAGGAGCTCAGTTCAGAACTCCTGGTTAGAGCAGTCCCACACTTTCTCATGGGCAATGTCTTCCACCCACCACCTGCCCTGGCTGGCCACGTCCTCCACCTGCTAGGCCTGTGCACCCTACTGCCTAGATGGGGTCTGCAGGCAGCCCTAGGGGAGTGGCAGGCATGGCCAAGGGCTGCAGCAGCCTGACGCACCCTTCAGCACCCTGCTGCCCCAATGGTACTACCCTGGCAACCGCATGGCAGTGCAGAGCCAGGGGCACACACAGGGACTGCAGTGTCCTCAGGCTGCCTGTGTTATGTGCCCCAGGGCACAAAACATCTGCAGTCTTTTATACCCTGCAAGCAGGAGCTGCCATAGAGGCAGCCCAGCCCTGGAGCAGGAGAGGCTCCTAGTTTGCAGCCCTGGGGCTGGCCTCAGGTCGGCCTCCTAGTAGGTGGGCAGACCTGGGAGCAAACTTGCCCCTGGGTTGCATCTACATGTGCTTTACTGTGCATGAACTAATCCTGCTTAAATTTGCTAGTTGTATTTGCAAGTAGCAAATTTAAGGAGGATTAAGGATTTTTACTGCACAGTAAGTGCGCACACATGTAGATGGCCATGCTACAGTACAGTACATTGTGTCAATGTACAGTAACATGTCTTGTGTAGACATGCCCAGTATGTCTCTTTCTGCATTTCTGTAACATTCCTGAAAAGTTTGAAATCAACTTTATAGTCAAACAAAGATAAGCCAATTCCTGCTTTTCTTTTGTCAGTTAAAAGAGGATTGCACTAGCATGACTGGAAGTAGAATTTGCCCCCATTGTTTTAAACTTCCTGAACATAAGATGTCTTGCTACATTCTACTTTGAGTCAGTTCAACTGTTTTCCAAATGCATTGTTTAAACATAGAAAGTAGATTTTAAATACCTTTATAATGTTTTAATTGTAGTTAGACTTTTCTTCTAGTTTTACTTTTCAGCTAGAGGATCTTGTTGGTCCCTTCCTTTTAATTAATAGCACATGTGTTTTGGTAGTCCCCGTGGATATTAAGGGGACAGAATGCAAATAGGTATGTAGACATCCCAGTCGTTCTTTAGAGAGGTTATATTTTGGATTGTGGCTTAGAAATAGCTCACAACTCCATCCCTTTGTGTCAATAACTCTCATGCTAAGAGCATGAGAGTTGCTTTGAAAATTCCCTGACATAAGAGAAATCCTCAGGTGTTATTGAGCTCTTATGGCTGCAGGTAGAGTAGATGGCATAATTAAGCTGTTAATTTTCTCCTAACCCTTTTGCTATCACCTATACCAGTAATGGAAATCTCTTATTTTATGCTGTCTTGATGAGTAAATAACTTACACAATTTATTGCATTTCTTTATTTGAGCTGAAGAGAATAACAAGGAGAGCCAATATTTGGGGAAGTCATTATATGAACGTATTTTGCATTAGGGTTTGTAAATGAGCTTGTTTTAGAGGCTGGTAAATTAATGAGCTAGTACTGGTAAGATAAATTCACAGAAAGGTTTAGTGTATTTCACTTGAAGCTACATTGATCTTTCATGGCATGGATCTGAAACTGCTTTTGATTTTCCAATGATAATTATTTATCTTATGGTTTAAAGGGATCTTTTTTATTACACTAATATCAAAATACCAAATTTTAATGTAATCATCACTGATAAATATCTTTGGTTTCTTAGGTAACAATGTTTGTGCTTCACTTGGGAAGTGCCACTTTCTTGTTAACAGAACCGGTGATAAGTGCAATGACGACTGGGGCAGCTACGCATGTCGTGACTTCACAAGTGAAGTATCTTTTGGGAATGAAAATGCCATATATATCAGGACCACTGGGATTCTTTTATGTGAGTTCACCAAAGGAGATTTGCATTTTTATTTGCTAACATTTTATTTAAAATCTATAGCTTTTTGTGAGATTATATGTGCATGTTGGGGGAAGACCAAACTCCTCCTATTAGCATTAATGGCATTTAGAACCCATAAGGACTGCCTCAGTTTGAACTAGCAAAATTAGGCCTTGAGTTACATTACATTATCCAGTTAAAAATGATCCAGTTTTGTAGTACTGTTAACAGTTACATATATTTGATTGAACAATTATAAATATTTAATCTTTTTCATATGCTAACAGAAGGCAAAACAAGCATGTTTTATACCATTCCACATGAACAGTTAACTTTTGTTGTATGTCATGTCTGGGGGAACCCAACATATTTCAAATTTCATTCTAAGCATGCTGCCTTTCATATTTTTTCTAAATGAACCCTGGCTATCAGTGTAGTGAAAGGAATGTCCAATAAATAGTGACCTTAGCTGTGCTACTGCTTTTTCATGACATAGTATAACTTTGTCGTACAGCATCTCAAGCTTGTATCTTTATTGTAATTTCCATATTACTAGTACATCTTTTTATATAGTGTTGTAGTTCTTTTGTATGATATATACAACTATGAGAACCCATTGTCTAGAAAAGTCTACTGTAATAAAATCTTCCAGCTTATGTATCGTAACCATATTCTTCCAACACAAGCATGTTGTATCCTTTTTCTATATCTGCCATGCCAGTGCAATGGAGCCCTTGTCTGCATAAAGGAATATATTGGTGTGGCTCTGTGTTAGCTGATAGTTTTCATATATTCAGCCAATGAGCAACTAAAAAATGAGGTCTGTGTATATTAGCATAGCCCCTTGACCCTAGAATGTATGTATCTGTTTAGCCACTGAAGTGAAACTGGCTTTTAAGGAATTTTGAATATGTTTTCTTAAATCACCTCTGCTTTCTACTCCCAATCTGATTCACCATTCATTTTTGAGTGGCTGGCAGGAGGGGACACCGAAATGGCATCTCTGCTAAACTCTGTACGTAGTAGGGAAATGTATGATTTCTGCGAGACAGGGTATTTTGCTATTTATAAATATTCCATTGGTTATATTTTGTACACTATGCCTATTTATAATTTTTACGAGGCCCAAAAATTATTAATGGCTGTTATAGCCATCTAACAAATATGAATAATATATGTTATAAGCAATTATAAACATATAAGTAAAAATTGCTATAAGCCATGACTATAAAATAGCCTATTGAGCTTTATTTTAAAAATTAACCATTGAATGGCTCTTGTATCCTAACTATAAAATGTGACCTTTTTTTTATATCTGCCATGCCAGTGCCATGGAGCTCCTATCTTCATAAAGGAATATATTAATTTGGTAGAAATGACTAATATCAACTAAGGCAGCCAAGAAATAATCAAAGCATATAGTATAATAAATAATAAGGAACAGCAATGATGCAAATAAATATTTCTGTCTTGGGCTGCTGGTAATATCATAAATTAAGTTTTCAGAAAATTTTCAAGGCTATCTGTTCCCTTATCCCTTGTATTTTTGTCAGAGCTGTCACTGTCGACCTTCTTATGCTGAAATCAAATCGTTTCTTCCCACATTCAAATTATACAAAACATAACCAGCTTATTTAAAAAATGCTGAGTTGCTCATTAAAAAAATCTTTAAAATGCTGATTGTGAATGATGAAATATCTTTATTAGAATAAATGAATTTACCTTAAAGATGCTGCAAAAATGAGAAACTTTTCTAGCACATATACATATTGCTTATCAGTATTTTAGTCAGAAACCTTACATGATATATTGCCAATATTAGTTAATAGGGTATTACTTACGTATGAAAAATGTACCAAATAATTATGTACATGTAACTAAGAAGTGAAATGCAAGTTTGGCAACCATTTTTTGTACATTTTCTTTCCACACAAATTCATGTATTTAACCTATTCTTTTCTCCGCTCCTCTGAAACATATTACCACTAAAACTAGTCTTTTCTCTGGCTTGGACACCCTTCTGGACTGCAAGACAAGAACCAAGAATATTAATAAAGTGTGATAGGGAAGTCAAAGGGAAAACTAACCAATGAAACATACTCTTCTATAAAGAATGAGATCACAGTTAAATACATACAAATGAGATTTATATGTGTAGAATGAATCTGCTTTGAAGACTTGGGGATGGTGGGATTTCTGAGTAAAGAGCATACTTTTGTGATTTATTTAATTACTTTTTTCTTGTAAACAGTTTGTAACATTTCCATTTTGCTGTACATCATACCATCTAAAAATGCAGGGGAAAAGAGTCCCCAGCTTAAAAGTTATTTATGGAAGAAAAGAGGGATTGAGGTACAAAGAAAGAGGTGGTGGGAAAAGAAAATGTGAAGTCTTGTTTTATAATCATAAAATCATAAGAAGGAGGGCTAGAACAGACCTTAGAAGTCATCTAATCCAGCTACCTGCTCAAGGCAGGATCATCCCTGCTTAAATCATCCTAGTCAAGTGTTTGTCTAACCCATGGATTCCAGCTTCTAAGTGGCTGGGGACCAAACACCCCATAGGCTGCATCAGGGAGAGCCACAGGCCCCTGGGCTACACACCATGTAGACCTTCATGCTACACCACGCCAGCAGCCCTGCATTTGCCCTCCCTACCCCCCACCTCCCAAGGTAGCTGTTCCTGATAATCTTGTTATCTCCTCTTGTGACAAAAATCACCTGCTCCATCAACTGTTAACTGAAGACCTGAACAGATGGAGGCTTAAGAGGCTTAAAAGTCATAAATTGTTTGTATATGAAGCCAACAAGCTCCTGGAAGAGATTGGGGATGCTGAAACAAACCTATGGGCAGCAATGGAGCGGGCCAACTGCTGGGAAAGGTCAGACTTATTCCTACAGCATTTTATACCAACATCAAATGAGTCCCCCAGTGGTCATGACCTTGACAGAGAAACATGGATCAAGCTGAACACACTGAGATCTGGATACCGGTGCTTTAAAAGAACACTTCACAAGATGAACATCTTGGACAGCTCCCTGTGTGAATGAATGTCCATCAAACAGCACAGCACTTCATTGAAAGCTGCAATCCTTACAAATGGCCAGATGGGACAGATGGAATCCACACGTTGAGCAAGAATACCAGACAGTGGCTCATAGATTTGTAAGCTGATATCTGATGCCATACAAAAGAAGGTTCTTTGATTACTTAAGGAAAGGCTCCATAATTTTTCCAGATATTTAGGTCAGACAGACTGGTCTATAATTCTCTGAATCCTTCTCCTCCTTCCCTCATTTTAAACACAGATGTTATATTTTCCCTTTTCCAGTTGTCTGAGACCTTACTCAACCTCCATGAGTATGCAGAGAGAATAAACTACTGTCTCTGCAATTACTTCAGCCAATTCCATGTATAGTATAGGCTGCAACTCACTTGGCCCTGCTGAC